TGGCGACATAGCGGTAGCCCGTGCGTCGGTGCAGCCGCGGGGAGAACTAGTGACGTTGTGGTCCGACGGGGTGACGCAAAAGTGGCCCATTTGCTTGATCTGTGGAGGGGCGCATTTGACTCGGGGACAATCTTCACGGGATCTGTGGAGGCACCCGCAAGCGACTGGCCTGGTCGGTCGTGTGGTGTGGATAGGGCGTATCGCAGGTGGGCAGGTGATCAATCAGATCGGCCGCAAGGTCGGGGACGCTACAGTGATGAGGTCAAAGTCACGGAGTTCGAGCAGAAGCAGGAGAGTACGACCGGCATGGGACGACGTGCGCACGTGCTCATCAAGCGTCGGCGCCTGAGCGGCCACGCAGCACCGGCGCCCGAGCAGCAAAGCCTGAGTGGCCAAAGCAGCAGCGACGCCCGAGTAGCCAGGCCCGAGCGGCGAGCACTGTGCCGTGTGTGAGGTGGAGGCGGTTGGTGATGAAGGAGTCCCGTTCGGTGCAGGGCGGCGACGTCCGGCGCAGAGTGACGGGCGACAGACGCGCGGACTGCGGTTGTGACAAGCCGCCTTGTCGCGCGAGGCCGCCGGGTGGCCGCGCCGGTATCGGATTAGAGGAGCGCAACGTCAACGGGTGCGTCGGGTGACACAAACTGATCTTATATCAGAAAACCAAAAAGAAACGTTGATGAAGACGACTGGTGTCAAAGAAAAGAATCCGGATAAAGGATCAGGAAAAGACTCTCTAAGATGGCCGATCAATACGACCGGTCGACGAACCGTTGGTACGGGCGGCGAGGCCCCGGTGGCGATCATAGAGATCGACCGTCTTGAGGGCGGCGCGGTGTGAAAGTGGCAACGACGGCTAGGGTTTTGGATCAGGTAGGATGATATCGTGTAGAATTGCAAGGACCAGCCTGTTCATCCGAAAGCTCGAGATGATGAGAAAAGGAGGGCAATGCATATAAACGTGAACAGTTTAATTGCCGTGCAAAATTGATACGTATCTGAGTCGACATTGACATGGTACCATCATGCACGTGCTGCTGCTGCTATATATAGTATCATGTATGTAGAAACTTCGGACTCTCCAGGCAGCCATGGCGCAACAAGATCAAGACGTCATGTACTACAACAATTACCTCTTCCTCCTGCTGCCCATGGTCCTGCTCCTCATCGTCAAGTTCAGGCTGCCGCGCAAGCACGGGGGCAAGAACCTGCCCCCGGGGCCATGGCGGCTGCCAGTCATCGGCAGCCTGCACCACCTCGTCGGCGCGCTAGCGCTACCACACCGCGCCCTGCGTGACCTCGCCCGTGCGTACGACGCCCCGCTCATGCTGCTCCATCTAGGAGAGCTGGAGGTCACCGTGGCTTCGTCAGCCGGCGCGGCAAGCGAGATCATGAAAACCCACGACGCGGCATTCGCCACACGGCCGCGGACCGCCACCATGCGCGCGCTCACGAGGGACGGCCTCGGCATCGCCTTCGCGCCTCACGGTGAGCACTGGCGGCAGGCCCGGAAGCTCAGCACAACCGGGCTGCTCGGCGCGCGGCAGGTCCGGTCCCAACGGGGAGCACGCGAGGTCGAGACAGCCGCCCTGGTGGCCACTGTTGCGTCGTTGTCGTCGGCGTCAGGGCCCATGAACGTCAGCTTCCTCCTCTCCGCCTACATCACAGACGTGGTGACGCGCACGGTGCTGGGCCACCGCATCGGGGCTCTCCGCGACGAGTTCTTGGAGCGCCTCGACGAGGGCGTCAAGCTGGTCGTCGGGTTCAGTCTCGCAGACCTGTTCCCATCGTCGCGCCTTGCGCGCGCATTCAGCGGGGCGTTGCGCCGCGCGGAGCTGCTCAGCCGCGAGATGAGCCAGCTCATGGACCGCATCACCGAGGAGCACCGTGCGAGGAGGATGTCAGCCGGCACCAGGGACGAGGAAGAGGACCTCCTGGACGTGCTACTCCGGATCCAAGCGGATGGTGGCATCGACGGGCCTCTCGACAACAGAACCATCCGTGCCATAATCACCGTAAGATTGACCTGTGTGTCTAGATGAAATTCTTTCAGCCTCTCGATTCATGAAGTTATGTTATTTTTTTGCAGGATATGTTTGCGGCAGGGAGTGAGTCCACATCGACAACGATAGAATGGGCGATGGCGGAGCTCATGCGAGCCCCCGCTGCGCTCCTGAGGGCACAGTCGGAGGTGCGCGGCACCTTCGCCGGAGAGAGCCGGGTCCGTGAGGAGGCCCTGCCGGAGCTGCACTATCTACATCTAGTAATCAAAGAGACCCTCCGTCTACACCCGGTGGCGCCGCTGCTCCTCCCCCGGGAGTGCCTAGAGCCCCGACGTGTTCTTGGTTACGATGTGCCCAAGGGCGTCATGGTGCTCATTAACGCATGGGCGATCGGCCGGGACACGGCGAGCTGGGGCGCCGACGCCGAGGAGTTCAGGCCCGAGAAGTTCGAGGAGGCCGGTGCCGCGGCGCCGGACTTTAGGGGAACCAACTTCGAGTTTGTGCCCTTCGGCGCCGGCCGGAGGATGTGCCCTGGGATAACGTTCGGGTTGGCTGTCCTGGAGCTTGCGCTGGCGAGCCTTCTGTTCCATTTCGACTGGGAGCTCCCTGCCGGCAGCTCGGGCGAGCTGGACATGGCGGAGGCTGTCGGGGCGGCGGTGAGGAGGATGAGCGACCTGCGGCTGCATGCCACCGTTCGTGTGCCCGTGCCTGGTCCTACTCTATAGATATTGAATCATGTCATACTATCTGCATACTGTATCCTTGTCTTGTACTCCTACTACAGTTTCTTCAGTACTTCACTAAAAATAAAATGATCCAGCAGCAGAAAACCTTTCCACATCTATGGTTCTGTATCACTGAAAATCAAAATGATGTGCGTGTGTATGTGATAATGTGATGTGCTGATGATAAATAGTTGAATCACTTATGATAAACAGTTGTGCATGTGTATTTGGTCTGTTTCATGTTATGTGGTGATGATAAATAGTTGTGCGTCTGTATTTGGACTCTTTCCTTTACACTAGATGACCCGTTGCGCCCATGGCGCAAAGGCCAAGCGTAAGCCAGGTATTGGAGGACTTGTTGGCATTTTTTATTAACAAATTATAATAATGTGCGTTCATTTTTTCCGGCGAGCAAATAAACTAACTATAATATTTGTAGGCAGTCCTCTCTCGATAGTTGGGAGTTTTTTCCAGCGAATAAATAAACAAACTATAATTAAGTTACCAGAGTTCACTACGATCTGCTGGTAAGTAAAAATTTGGGAATAGCGATCATACATTTTTTTAAGTATTATTATCTTATCAAATTTGGGAAATGTAGACCTTAAGTAAAAAAAATGAAAGTAAGACTCCGCCAGCCTCATTAAAACTAAGAAGGCTCCTCATCCACCTCATTAAAGCTGAAAAGGCACTCTTCGGCCTAAGAGGGGGCATACTTTTGAAAATTTTGAATTAGGACATACATTTTCCCAATTTGTTAACATAAGCTCTAGAACAGTTAATATTGCATTGGGAATAGCAGATACAGTAGGTGATTGAGTGAACAATTTTACAGTAGATTGAAACAGTCATTCGAGAGAGGGTACAGCAAAAGAGGTCTAATAGTGTTATCCACGGAATATGAAAGTTGCTCCGTTCGGATTTAAACAGGGAAAAGTATGAACGGAGTTTTGGCTTGTCTCTATGACTGCCAAAACCGGGATTGCAAACATGCAAGTAACATAGCAGTAGACTGTTTAAAAGGGTGTTGTAGGAAGACAGCGGTGGCCATGCAGCGTTCACTTGTTCTTGCAGGCTTCAAAGTAGCGACCGAGAAGGTAGTAAAGGCCAAAACAACCTGAGGAAAAATACAGGAATATTCATAAGGTAAGAGCTCAACATGGTACCGGAAATTAAGTTTATAGGAGGAAAAATTGCTACTGCAGCAAAGCTTATTATACATGCAGCCTATCAGTTATGGGCAGAAGGCGTGGACATGAATACATGTATGAGCTGATATGAGAGGCAGAAGATAAAAGTAAAGCAGTGAAAAGATTATTAGTTGCGTGAATAGACATATATACCACACATAGACGCTCATTCTGAAGCGCAGATTGCTTAGGGACCTATCATTGTTTTATGAAATGGTTGATGCAGCAGCAGCAGTAGTGGCAATCCTGAAATTATGAAGTTTTCAATAAAAGGCAATACATTAGTAATGCGTATTTATATTCTATATGAATATAAATAGAAGGCCAACAAGACAAAACAATGAATGCGAGGCAGAAAAATTCAGAAGCTGAATTGCGTTGGGGTTGATAACAGCAAATTTGTTATGGTTCATGCGTCTATTTCCAATCTGGATAAATAGTCATAGCGTTTTATGTCTCACTGTATAGATATAGTGTACCTGTTGGCAGGTGCAGCAGTACAAGCATCTGGATCAACATCAGCAAGTGCAGGGGCCTGTGACAGGGATATGTTGATCACTCGGAATCATCAAAAGAAAAATCAACAACAATAAAAGAGAAAGCTGGCGTGGCCACCTGATCATCGTTCTTCTCCTGCCAAACAAGGATATGTGCATGGGGCACCCCCGTTTTCTGGAACTCCACGGTGTGGACAACTGCAAAGCAGCAGGGTAAATGTAAAACAGGGAAAAGTAACGACATGTGGGTAAGAAAAAATGAATTGGAGGAAGAAAAGGTACTGGGCATAGTACCAGCAAGCACTGTCCCAAACACTTGCCCAGTCCTGACTATGTGCAGGTAGTCAAGGAGCTTCATCTGATGGATTTGAATGGTAATATCAGCTCTATTGACTGCTTTTTGCCCATGTTCAAGGGTCTCAATTATCTCAGGCCACTCTGGATCACATGCCAAGGTTGTGGATATATCAGGCGAGCCATGGACTTGCGAAACAGCCACTGCATCGTGGAAATCTTCAGTCATACAGCGAAGCCCACCCGCAAAAGACGGCATCATGTTCTTCTTAACAACCTCCGGTCCGCCAACCTTGTCAAGCCCAGCAGCATCAACAACAGGCTGGAGCCTTTTAATGCGCATGTCGCCCTGAAGATTTTTGGAAAGGTTCTTAGCCGAAATGTGGGAAGATCACAAGGCAGCAGATCACCAGAGTCAGCAAAGCATGAGCAAAATTACAAGCAAAGATGACAGGACAGCAAGCAATTTTCGCCTAACAGAGGCGCATGGGAAAAGTATTATAAGAAGAATTTCAGCAAGCAGGAAGAAAGATAGAACATAAATATATTACACTGGTCTTAGATAGCACAATAAATTCCATACTTATACATAACGAGAGAGCAGTTTGAGACTGAGACAGTTCTTTATGTGAGGCTATAAACACAGAGTTTCACATTTTATTTAGACAACCTAGTAGACCCAACATAATAACAGACTGGCCCTTTCTAGAAATAAGCAAGGCCTGATGATGAAGCCACTTCTTGATTAACTCAGTGAGCTTAACACAGTGTGCTCATGGGGATCGCACGTAATGAGCGTAGTCATCATCCATTTCTTCATGGTAGTCTTCATCGGTCTCTTCATCAGAAAGCCCATAGTAGACTGGATCAGCCACATCATCCTCTGAGTACATACCCTTTTCCTCTAGCGAGACATGTGCTGCGGCTGTAGTGTTTTGTTGAGCAACAACTGCGTCTTGAATCTCTAGAACAGCCTGCTTTATAGCAGAAAGAGACATGGAGGCAGCAGGGTCCAAGGCAACGGCAGCAAGTCCATGAGTTTTGGTTGATGCAGCATGAACTTCTTCCAGATAAAGGGACGACCTTTCTTTCATTTTTTTTCCATGTATTCAATGCCTAGATCGGCTGCGCGATACATTGATGCCTCCCCATTCACACATATAGGGCTTAACTTTTTAACCCGGCGTTTTGAGGCTCCGTAACGCTCCTTTGTACAGTGAAATTGAACTTGCGACCTATACCCGCCTTGCTCAAGCAGACTCACATGGTAGACTGCTTTAGGAATCCCAAGCTTCTCAAACATGGCCTCAGCCAAAGATGTTGTGGATAGCTCGACCAACTCCATCAAGACGGTTTCAAAAGACAGATCGAGGGGAGCTGGCGCAAGATATAAATACAGTGTATATAAAGAACAATGAATGTACATTACTTATGCATAGCTATATATGCATTAACTCTGTAGTTTCTTAAGATGGAATCAAACAAGCTGGAAAAGAACATGCTTAATATGCCAGAATCAAGGAAAGGCAATAAATTATATATTTTGTTGGTTTTATGAAAATACATTACTTTTAGGTATATGATGGCACAGAAATCATATCCCATCGCACATGGAGAGGAATCAAACATGTCTTCATCCACATGAACTATAGACAGGGCTGGATCTGGATCTGAAACAGAGGAACCAACCTGACAGTGAACCTGCATTTAGTATCTTCTTAAAAGGTATGAGCAAGCAAAAAACAAAAGTACTGGAACTTAGAACTGCACCAGGAAGAACCGAGCCAATCAATAATGTAACATCACAACTCTATTTGTTTCTTAGGGCATCTCCAGCCGCGCCCCAGAAAGGCCTTCCCAGGCGATTTTTTCGCGCCGGCGCTGAAAAAACGGCCCAGTCGCGCCCCCAGGAGCCCGATTTTCGCCGGCTTGGGCCGAAAACAACGCCGGCGGACCCAGCCCGAACCCGGCGCGCTGGGGGGCGCCCGGGGGCGCCGGGGCGAGCTGTTTTGGCGCGAAAAAGACGCGGGCCAGCCGCGTCAGCGACTCCGCGCCTCGTCTTCCCCCAACGGCCTTGGTTCCCGCGGGGAATCAATGGCAAGGCTGCCGCCGGTCAGCCTTGCCATTGATTCCTCACGGGCGGCACTTCACGGGGCGGCGCGCCGACGCCTCCCTTCCCTCGCACGCGTACACACGACGCGCGGTCCGGCTATAAAAGCCAGCGGCCTCCACTCGCCTGTGTCCAGACCAGCCCCCCTCGCCGCCGTCCAACCCCTCCCTCTCCCGAGCGCCGCCCTCCGGCCTCTCCCTCTACCTCTCCCGAGCCCACCCCGCCCCGCCGTCGCCATGGCAGAACGCTTCCCAGGAGACGAGGCGGCGGCCAACGGCTTTGGTCGCCGTTCGTTCCGCGAACAGGAGTCCTGGCTCCTGTTCCAGGCGAACATCCCGGCACCGCCGGACATGCGCGCCGGGCCATCGGGGTGGAGGCTCAGCGCCGTGGGAGTACCCATTCCCCCGTTGCCCGACGCCGTGGCGAAGCCGAAGTACTTCGCCGAGGAGGTCGAGATCGTGCGCACGTCCCTCACCGACGCCGAACTCTCCCTCCCCCAGTACGCCGCCGACAACCACGCGGCCTGGGCGGCGTATTTCGAGCGCCGCCAGCAACAGCGTTTGGCGTCCACCAACGGCGCGCCGGTGGTCGGCGGCCGGCAGAACAGCGAGGGGCGCCACCTCTGGTGGGGCGTCCCCGCCCGCACTTTCGAGGGCGTGCTCACGTACCTCGAGGGTGGCAACGACCCGCCGTTGGCGTACCCCCCGGCGCAGCACCGACGCGTCGGGCCATGGGCGCCAAGGAGGTTCGAGTCCTCCTCCTCTTCTTCTTCCTCCCGATCCTCGTCGCACTCCTCCGGCACTCCGGCCCTGCTTGGCGTCAAGGCCGAGCCCGCGGCGGAGTCGCCGCTCGGCCGGCGCACTCGCAGCGCCGGCATCGTCATCAACGAGGGCGGCCGGCGTGCCTCGT